AAGCGTCCTCGGCGCGACGCGCGCGCTCTTCGGTGGAGAGAACGACGCGCTCGGGACGGGGCGCACCGGTGGTGGTGTCGGTGAGACGACGGACGCGACGCGCGCGCTTCGCGGGACGGACGCCTTCGTCTCCGCTCGACGCGCGCGCTCGAGCGACGCGCGATCGACGGGCGCGATCGACGGGCGCCGGGCGCGCGCGCGCGCGCGCGACGTCGACGGACCCGATCGTCGCGCGCGACGGACCGCGCGCGCGCGACGGACTGCGGCTGGCGGAACGACGCCGGGCGCTCAGGAGCTTTCGGCGTCGAGACGCGCGGGATCCAAATCGTAAATCTTTCTCTGTTTGACGTCGCTGAGCGTGGCGTACGCTCTCTGAACAATTTTGAAGCGAGTCTCCGCCGCGGCGGCGTCCTCGGGCGAGGCCTGAATCCATTTGTCGGGATGCCACACCGCGGCGAGTCTGCGATAGGCGGATTTCACCGCCCGAAGGTCGGCGTCGGGCTTGATCCCGAGGACGTCGTAGTATTTTCCACCTCGGGCGCACGGATCCTTCTCCGACTTGATGTTGGCGCGCGATGAACCTCGGAGCGCTCGAGCGGCGGCGTCGCGGACCATTTTATCGATGCCGCGGAGAGCCGGGGCGATTGTTTGCGCCGAACGCAAATCTGTGAACGCGCCTTGATGATCCCCGCGCCCCAGTCGCATCTCCGCGCGTAAGACGTACGCCTCGTGGTCGTTGCCGTTCAACGCGATGCACTCGGAGAGATCTCGAGCGGTTTGTTTGAGGTTTTCTCTCGCGATCGGATCGTCCGCCGCGTCGTACTCGTGCCGCCTCAACTGACACTCGGCCCGAGAGCGTAAAATTCTCCCGCGGAATCTCGTTCGCATCCTTCCCTCTGGTCTTTGAAGGATCATGTCGAACAGTCTGATTGCATTCGTGAACTGCGCATCTTCGACCTCGCGCGCGGCGCGGTTGATGAGATCCTGAAGGTGAAGTAGTCGAGCGCCGAGTTCGATGCACTTTTTGCACGAAAACTCGTCGTAAGAGTCTCGAAATGACGCGCTCGATATCTCCGTCAACGCGCCATCGACGTCGCCCATGCGCCATCGAGTCTCAGCGATGATGTACTTTCGATCGAGCGAGTCCTCGAGGAGTGTTTTGCACCGCTCGATCGCGAGCTCGTACCTCTGACAGCTCACCAAGGCTTCGGCGACGTTCGCCTTGGCGCCCTCGAGGTTTGGATTCGCACGTAAGAGCTCCTCTGCGCTGAGAAGAGACTCCGCCGCGACGTCTGGATCGACATCATGTCTCGGCATCGGTGATCTTGAGCCGTGGAGAGCGGCTTCACGCTGACGATCGGCCTCGGCGTTTGCCGCCGCGACGGCTCGGGCGGCTTCTCGTCTCCCTCGCTGCGCGACGTCGTCGTCTGGATCGATTTCCAACACCCTATCGAACATCTCGAGCGCTTGCTGAGGACATCGAAGCTTCAAACGCGCTGTAGCACATCTAGATAATGCCTTGACGTAGGTCGCGTCGCGCGCGACCGCGCACTCGGCGTCGTCCGCGGCGACGCCGAACCGTTCGAGCTTGAGCCCAGCGGCTGCGCGATTCGCGTGGTACACCGCCTTCCTCGGCTCGAGCCTGATCGCTTCCGTGAATTCATCGAACGCGGTTTCATACCTCTTACCCGACATCGCCTCCATCCCCCGATCGTTCGCCTCCTCCGCGCGACGCGCGTCGTACTCTCCGTCTCGCCACCACGGCGCGCGCGCCGTCGACCGTTCCTGCGTCTCACTCATCTCCGACAAATCCACCGTCAACGCCGCCATCTCACCCAACGCACGCGCGATCGCGGGATCACTCTCCACCCCCAAACACCGCGCGCGCCACCGAAACTCCCGGAGCGTCGCCCGCCGCCACATCTCCCCGGCGTACCGCTCATCCGTCACCAACTCCACCGACGCGTACCCACCGCCCGTCGCCGGTCCATCCTTCCCGAGCCCCTCCGTGGGCTCGCGCGCGCGCGTGTCCGACACCATGCGCCCCCCCGCGCGTCGCGCGTCGCCCCGTCCCGTCGTCCCGTCGTCCCGTCGTCGCCACCACGAGCGTTACGCCCGTTCCCGCCGGGCGTTTTTTTCTCGACGCGTCGACCGCCTCGACGAGTCAGCACGCACGACGGCGCGCGCGCGATAAAACCCACACGCGTATCGACGGACGCGTACTGTACGTATGTATGTCCCGTGTGTGTGACACCCTGTCGACACGACGGCGCACACGCGATAAAACCCACACGCGTATTGACGGACGCGTACTGTACGCCTGTATGTCCAATGTGTGTGACACCGAGCGATACGACGGCGCACACGCGATAAAACCCACACGCGTATTGACGGACGCGTACTGTACGCCTGTATGTCCCGTGTGTGTGACGCCGAGCGACACGACGGCGCACACGCGATAAAACCCACACGCGTATTGACGGACGCGTACTGTACGCCTGTACGTCCCGTGTGTGTGACACCAAGAGAAAACCAGGCGCGCGCGCTCCAGACTGGCGGCCGACGACGCCGGCGACGGGGGAGGACGACGCGCATGGCGCTCCTTGCGCGCCCGCTCGCCCCGCGCCCGTCGGCGACGCCGTCGTCGACGACGCGGTCGACGCCCGTGAACGCGCGCGGGCGAACGAGGGAGGCGCGGGGGGGAATTCTCGCGCGGCGGTTGGGATCGGGCGCGACGCGCGATGGCGAACGAATGCCGCCGCTTGTGGGCGCGCGTGGGCGCGTACGAGCGCGATTAGGGGTGAATGAGACGTTCGTTGACCTCGGCGTCGTCGCCGATGGGGTCGAAGAGGAAAGAGAGGCGAACGTGCGCGCGACGGCGGGGGAGGGGGAGATGCTGTCGTTCGTCGTGTTCGGCGCGAGCGGAGACTTGGCGAAGAAGAAAATCTACCCGGCGTTGTTCGCGCTGTATTACGAAGGGCGGTTGCCGAAGAATTTCATGATTTACGGCTACGCCCGGTCGAAGATGACGACGGAGGCGTTCAAGGATAAGATCGCGGAGTCCCTGACGTGTCGGTTGGATTGGAGCAAGCAGGGCGGGAGCGACTGCGCGCAGAAGAGTGAGGAATTCTTCGACCGGTGCGTGTACGTGGCGGGACAGTACGATGTCGCGGCGGATTTCAAGGCGCTTGATGCGCAGATGTGCGAGGACGAGAAGCATGTGAGCGCGGTGAAGCGCGTCTTTTACCTGAGCATTCCGCCGAGCATCTTTGTTCCCGTGGCGCAAAACGCCGCGCGCGAGTGCCAGTGCAAAAAGGGAGACACCAGAGTGATCGTGGAGAAACCGTTCGGGCGAGATCTCACGAGCTCACGCGAGCTCACCGCCGCGCTCGCGAGTGAGCTGAGCGAAGAGCAAACCTATCGCATCGATCACTACCTCGGCAAGGAGTTGATCGAGAATCTCACCGTGATGCGCTTCTCCAACATCATGTTCCAACCGCTGTGGAACAGAAACTACATCCGCAACGTTCAGATCAACTTTAGCGAGGACTTCGGCACGGAAGGCCGCGGGGGTTACTTCGACCACTACGGGATCATTCGCGACATCATGCAAAACCACCTGTTGCAAATCTTGGCGCTCTTCGCCATGGAGGAGCCGGCGAGTCTGAACGCCGAGGACATTCGTGACGAGAAGGTCAAGGTGATTCGATGCATGCGTCCGATCGAGATGGATAACGTCGCGCTCGGACAGTACAAGGGACGACTGACGGATGGGAGAAAGTACCCGGCGTACTTGGACGACGAAACCGTGCCCAAGGGGTCTCTCTGCCCGACGTTCGCCGCCATGGCGCTCTTCATCGACAATGCGCGCTGGGACGGTGTCCCGTTCTTGCTCAAGGCTGGCAAGGCTCTACACAAGCGGCAGGCTGAAATTCGCGTGCAGTTCCGTCACGCTCCGGGTAACCTTTACGGGGAACGACAAGGACGCGTCGAGCACGTCACAAACGAATTGGTGATTCGCATCCAACCGGACGAAGCCATCTACTTGCGCATCAATAACAAGGTCCCCGGTCTCGGTCAACGTCTCGACCAAACGGTTCTGGATCTTCAATACAAGAGCGCGTACGGACAAGTTCAACTTCCGGACGCCTACGAACGCCTGATTTTGGACGTCATCAACGGCGACAAGCGCCTGTTCATCCGTAACGACGAGCTCGAAGCGGCCTGGAAGCTCTTCACGCCGCTTCTGGATAAGATCGAACAGCAAAAGATCGCGCCCGAGCTCTACCCTTACGGCTCTCGCGGGCCCATCGGCGCGCACTACCTCGCGTCGAGGTTCAACGTTCGATGGGGTGACACAGACTAGTACCGGTAGGCGACACTGTTTTTTGTAATCAAACGCACGCAGCGCAGCGCATCGTGGGATCGCCGACGAGTGATGTCAACTTCATATTGGATTAAAAAATGGTCGTGAACGCTCGCATCGATCATTCCGGGATTTCGTAGAGCACCTTGCCGCGAGACTTGCCCGCCTCGAGGTATTCGTGACCCTCGACGGCTTGCTCGAGCGGGAAGCAACGGTCGACGGCAACTTGGAGCTTGTTTGAGGCGATCCAGCCGAAGATGTCGTTCGCACGTTCCATGAGTTCGGCGCGGGTGACGGTGTAGTCGTTCAACTTCGGACGAGTGAGGTAGCCGGACTTGTTGATGAATCGAAGCGGCGGGAACGCCGGGACGGCACCCGAGGCGTTACCAAAGGAAACAAAGATACCGCGGCGGGCCAAGACATCGATGGAGGTCTCGTACGTGGCGAGACCGATGCCATCGATGACAGCCTTGACGCCCTCACCCTTGGTGATTTCCATCACGCGCGGGACGAGATCGACCGAGGTGTAGTCCTCGTAAGACGTGCCCGGCGCTTCGTCGTAGACGATGAGCTCATCGACGCCCGTGGCGCGCGCGATGTCTTCCTTGCTCTTGGAGCACGTGCCAATAACCTTGTATCCGCGAAGCTTGGCCATTTGCGCCGCCCACTGACACGTACCGGAGCCGGTGCCGTGAATGAGCATCCACTCACCCGGTTGCACCAAACCGGCGTGCGCCGAGTGCGTGAGGTAGTGCGCCGTCATGCCTTGCACCCCGCACGACACCGCGACATCCAGAGGAATATTTTCCGGCACCGTGATCACCTTACTCGCCGGCACCGCCGTGTACTGCGCGTACGTCTGGAACACGCTCGAGTAGCTCACGCGGTCGCCAACCTTGACCCCTTGCGCGATCGCCTCCTCGCTCGCCGCCGCGATGTATCCACCGCCCTCCTGTCCACCAATGAACGGCAATTCACGTTTATACAATCCACTTCGATGATACGTATCGATAAAGTTAATCCCAGAGTACCGGTTCTTCACGATGACGCCGCCCTTCGCGAGCTTCGGCGTCGGATAATCCTTTTCAATCTTCATCGCCGACGCCGGTCCCGTCTCTCGGATCACCGCCGCCGTCTGCGTCGCCGAACATCACGTTTGTCAGTCCATTCGCGCGCGTCGTCGTCCGCGGTCGTCGTCGCGCGGTGGGCTACACGCGATGATGCGTCGCGGGGTCGATCGCGCGGCACCGCCGCCATGGCTGTCGATCGCGTCGTCGCGCGCGTCGCCCGTCGCCCGTCGCGCACCATGGTCTCGGGCACGGCCGAGGCGAACCCGCGGACGTGCGCGCAGAGCGGTCGAGAGAGCTTGGACGCGCGTCGGAGGAACATGGTCGAGACTGGGCGTCGAGCGATGGGGTGACCTACTTTTTAGGTGGATTGCCATGGTGACGGCGACGACGTACGCCGCCGCGGCGAGCGCGGAGGTCGGGAGACGCCTACGCGTCGTCGTCGTCGGTGTACGCGACGACGGAGTCGACGTCGGCGTAATCGTCGATGTACGCGTCGTTTGTGCGGTGGATGGGGGGGGTCAGCGGGCGTCGAGCGCGCGCGAGGGCGGCGCGAAGCGCCTCGAGCGCGCGTCGGCGCTCGGAGGACACGCCGTCGTACGGCGTCTGGCCGGCGGCGTTGCGTGAGTTTGGATCCGCGCCCTTGTTCACGAGGTACTCTCCGAGTTCGAAGTAGCCGTAACCGTAGCAGTAGTGAAGCGCGGTGTTGCCTTGCTTGTTCGTCGCGTCGAGAGGAACGCCGGCGCGGACGCACATCTTGGTCACGCGCTTGCGGTTGTTCTGCGCGGCGACGATGAGCACGGTGTTCCCGAACGAATCCCTGGTGTCGACGTCGAAATCGTCGAGATTGTCAACGAGGATTTCTTGCGCCTCGCGAACTCGACCGTTGCGGACGGCGCTGAAGATTGGGTGTTGCCCGCCCGCGCCCTCGACGCCGTCGGCGGGACGACGCTCGGCTCGCGTCTCGGCGTCGTCCTCGGGTATGATGAGCTTGCCCGGCGAGAATTTTTTATACGTCGGTGACCCGAAAGAAACTCCCAGCGAGGCCGTGGACGTCCCGAAGTCTCGTCTCTCGGGCTCAGGCGAGCGAAGCCAATCTGGTAAGTCTCTATCGTCGATTGTGGACTTTTTCGGGCTCGGCGTGCTCTCCGCCGGGCTCGGTGGGGCGTGCGCCACGCCGCCGTATTTCCGCTCCGCCACCTTCTCTTCGTTCGCCCACATTTCGTAATCCTTCTTCGTGTCCTTGAGCTCGTCGGCGAGCTGAAGAACGCGCGATTCACTCGCGTCTCTCGCTCGTCGCAGCGCGTTGATTTGCTCCAACATGGCTCGCTCCTTCTCCGTAAACTGCTTTGTCGTCTTCCGAACGCGCGCGAGCTCGGCGCGAAGACCCGCTTCACCGAGATCGATCAACCCACCGCCATCGGTGCGATCGTTGGCGAGAGACTCAATTCCAGAAGACGACTGCGTCTGACGCGCGCGCGCCCCGTGCGAGACGTCGAGCAACCTCTTCTCCTCCGAGCGCAACTCGGCGAGCTGTCGCTCCACATCCTCCGCTCTCTGCTCCAGCGCGCGCTCGCGTTCGACCACTCGCGTCTCACGTTCGATAACTTCTCGCTCGCGTCGACGCACAGCCTCCTCCTCACTACGTAACCTCGTCTCGCGTTCGCGCGCGTCCCGCTCGACGCGCTCGCGTTCGCGCGCCGCCGCCTCTCGCGCCTCGTCCGTCGACGACGCCCGCACGGCGACGTCACCGTCACGCACGACCACCCCTCCATCCTCCGTCGTTTCCAACGCCGATTCCAATCCCGTGGGAATCGTCGTCGTCTCCCGCGCGCGCTCCGACGCGCCGCCGTCCGCGTTCGCCGCCGTCCCGAAACACCCAAACGAAAAACATCCCATCCACCCCCCACCCCCCCGCGTCGCCCTCGGCGTCGCGATCCCATCCCTCACCCCCATCGTCGTCCCCGTCGTCGTTCGCGCCGTCGTCGTCGTCCGC